AATTTGCAATATATTAGTTGAATTTTAGATAGTTTCATATACATCCAGTCAGGAAACAGTCTGGCTTGGTTCTACAGAACATCATCGACATCATCATCTACAGGTTTTTTTTTTCCGCAATTTTATTTTGTTCGAAATGTAATTGATTTTAACTAAAATATCTATCGTTACTTATAAATAACATTCCCTATAGCTATCCATTTTATAAAAATTATTTTTTTCTTTTCAATTTTTTTAAAAATTCATTTTGTTTCGATCATCTATTAGAACCAGTTTTCCCTTCTTCTTGTTTCTTTTTATTTTCTGCTCAGATTCTGATCTTACAGAAAAAAAAGAAACCTCTTAAAATGTTTTTTCTTAAATTATCGATAAGTCATATTTGTTATATTTACTTCTTTTGATTTACTTCTTTATTTTCCTCTTTTTGAATAGTAATCGATAGGTTATATTGACTTCTTTTGAATGCTATTTGTGGCATACATTTTTTGTGATACTATTTTTTAACACTCGTTTAAAAAGTAATTAATTTTTTTTCTAATTTTATTTTCTATCTAAATTCATTCAGTTATTGTGAAATTTTATATTATACCATTTTCTTGTTTATATTTAATAGACAAATTATCATATATAGTAAAGCTCAATTTGCTTGTTAATATAACAAGAAAAAAGAACTGAATAAAAAGAAATTGAAATTTTCATATAATGAAAACTCCATTCCCTTCTTCCCCTCTTTCTTAGCTCTTTTTGAAATTTTTATTTAAAAAAAAAAAAAGAACGAAATTATAATATTGCTCTCTTTTTACATTTCATCTTTGTTCCTTTTCTTCACTTTTTTTTCTTATTCAATTCTCATTTCATCCAATTTCCAAAATCCATTTTATTTTTAGTCCATTATCAATAAAATTTTCCAAAATCTTTTTTTTCCCTCCACTTTTATTATTTTCTTCCTCCTTTTTCAGAGCTATTATCAATCTTCGGGTTCGCTTACACCATCAACACCTCGTGCCTGTAACATATCATTAAACGGAGTAAGCTTTCCTTTTCCTTCCATTTCTATTTCTTTTTTATTTTTTATGTTAATGAATGCGTCGTAGCAAAAAAAAAAACGAGCAAGCTTTTCTTTCTCTCTTCCTTTCATTCCTTTTAAATTAATCAGTTGATGTTTGTGTTAGCTGATTTGCTTCTTGATAGTTCCGTTAATCGATTACTTATCTTTTATTCGTTTTATTTCATAATATCATGATATTGTGGTTACCTTTTTTTACAATTATCATTATTTTAAGCATAATTATTCGCTTTATTTTGCTTATTTATTATGTTTATTTTAATATTATAGTATTATGTTTGTTGTTTTGCAGTACCATAATATCAATTATTATTTATTGCAACTGTTATTATTTCAACCATGATTATTTACTTTATTTCGTATAATTATTGTCGTTATTATTTTATATATTATGTGTGCTATTGTTGAACTTTCTAATTTGTTTAATCTTTTTAGCTTAATTACTTCAATGTAAAGTTATTATTATCATCATTATTATTATTTTTGTTATTGTTATTGTTGTCATTATTATTGTTGTTATTATTATTGTTGTTATTATTATTGTTGTTATTATTATTGTTGTTATTATTATTGTTGTTATAATTGTTATTATTATTGTTGTTATTATTATTATTATCAGATTATTATTAATTATTATTATATTTGATTATATCATTAGAAAAGTAAATTAACGAATGAATAGTTTTATAGAGTCATCTATCGATGACAAGTTGGTCACCTTGCTCAACTTGTTCAATATCACCTTGTGGTTCACCACTTCATTTACGTGGTTCGTGGGCCTATGATATCGTTTATTTGCCACCAAATTTGGAACGATCGATTAAAATTCAAAAAGGAGCACTTTCACTTGGTATAATAATTTTGTAAAATTTTGATGAATTAAAAGAAGATTATGCAAAGTTTTTTATTAAATAATTTTTTTCTTCAAAATAAAAATTGAAAAAAAAATTTACTTTAAACAATTTTTCAGGCATAGTATTAAATGCGGAAATCGATAAAGGTATTAATGGTTGCCAAGTAAAGAGTATTTGTAGCAAAAAAGCTATAGGACGCGATGGAAGAGTTCAAGTATTATTTTGCAAATAATTAAAAAAATTCAAAACGTTTGAGCAGTAAAAACAAATAAATTAATTATAATTGGTATTATAAAGTATGAACATTTTTACTATAATGCTACTACAATAAGAATAAGCAGCTATTCATTTGATTGATAAATAAAATGAAGAAGGAAAAAGCAAAAAAAAAAGATTTCAATTTCGAATTTTTTTTTCGAAAATCAATACTTAGAATTAATATTGATTGTTGAGAAAGGAAATAAATGCTTTTTTTTTACTTTTATTTGTTATAATTTAATTCAAAGGTAAATGATTATATTGTGAAAGTAAACATGGAAAGTTTACGAAATGTTACGAATTCGCAAGCACGAGCAATTTTGAAACGAACTAATCTTATTGGCACGCAGTGCAAGTTTGTCTTATTTTTGTTTTTTCCATTATCGTTTTCCTCGTGATATCCCGTACCATCGCAGTAAATTTTCGAAATTTTAAAAAACTTTAAGAATTCCTTTTCTAAAAAAAAAAACATTAATAATTGATTGAATTTAGCGCTTATTGTACTTCATGTTAACACGAATAATTTAATTTATAACAGTAGTATACAACTCTCCAATACTTTCGTTTTCAAACTTCCGCTCCAATTTTTCCAATTTTTCAAATTTCATTTTTTCTGCTCCTCATGACAAGTAAAAAATAAAAAGACAGAAGAAAAAGAAGCGAAATTTTTCATGCTTCAAAATTATCATCCGTTAATATTTTTACTTTCTTATTTATAAGTTAAAAAGTGACCAATTAAAAAAAAAAACACAGCAACAAGTTAATTTCTTTAAAACCTTACTAATCTCTTTTTATCATTTAGATCGACATTGTAGCGCATACAATTAATTCGAAATAATTTTACTCTAAAATTTGATAAACGATGATGAAAACGCTCCGATTTTTTTTTTTTTAATAAAGAATAAAATCATTAAAATTTTGAAAAAAATGATAGTAGGGTAATGATGTAGAATTAGTAAATGGTTATCATAATAAATTAAAAAATGCAATTATATTTTACCGGTTAGCCTATCAGAAGAGCATAAGCTAAAATGAATTTTGTTAAGCTAATAAAATAAAAATCAATGCATTGAAATTTAGTAAAAACTGCTTTATTCGTTTATTGATTTTTTGCAACTGAAACTGCTTGTCTTCCTTTGCTATATTTTTCAATTATTTATCAATTTTTTTCGTTTTTTCCTTCAATTTTATAAATATTCTTTTTTTTTTTGCAGCATAACATATATCACTGCATCAGATGCAAAAATTTGGAAAGAGAAATATCATCATGAAGCAGATTATCAGTTTCCCGTAATTAATAGGCTTTCACCCAAGTAATTTGCGCCTTTTTTTTCTTCCCTTATTTCATTGCTTAAAAAAAATTTTTTCTTTCAAATAACACTCTTTTTCATTGACTAAAATTCAAAAAGAAACTAAATGCAAAAAGAAGAAAATAATGTTTATTTGTTGTGTCATTTTCTTTTCATTTATTGCAAAATTTGGAATGATCATAACGGAGATTCAATTCCATCACTTTTTTTTTTT